CGTCCTTTATCTGTGATAAAAGTTTGGATATATATTAATATATTATAATTTGGTACAATCTCGCGCGCAGTTTTTTAATTTTTTATGGCTCGATATATAAATTTAAATTGATAATCGTCGATATCTCCAAATAAGGATTTTGTCTCAGAGCATGAATTTGCTGTGTATCAACCCAAATATTGCTATAATGTAATTCTTATTTCAAATATTAATAATAATAATTAATATTTTAATTATTGACTTGCTTAACGATATCTTTAACAATATGATCGTAAACGAAATCAATTTAAAGAATTACAGTATATAAAGTTAATTATATTACGTATATAATTTTTTAGTATATTAAAAAACAAATTAGTTATAGCATAAATAATTAAATAAAAATAAATGGCGTCACTTGAACAAAAAGTAGTTGTACGCAATTAAGGTAAGTCTAATCTCATTTAGGGCTTGATCTTTTGAAATATTTTATCTCACTTTTTTTATTTTATCCGCATATTGAATACTAGATAATCTACGATTGAGAAAACACCATTCATTCATGTCCATCAATTGATTTGACCACTCAATGACATCGTCCATATGATCCATGTCGGTATCCACAATTTCTATTGGACAAGATAAAGATTCGAGTTCGAGATATTTGTGTATTAGCGTGTCGCTAAATTCAGGTAATTTGTCACGATTTGTTACTACGACAATATAAGGAACTTTGGGGTGTAATCTTTTGATTACGGTTGTCACTGATTGGAACTGCGTGCCTATATTTAGTGTATGTGCTGACAGAATAGCGTAGTAAGCATCAAAAAATGGAATGACTACTTACAGCACGACGTGTATCCATCATATTGTCATAGCAAGTTTTAAGTTTCGGTTCAAGTGGGGGAAATTCTCCTTTCGCTATTTTCTCTACTTTTTCTGTGTCTGTGACGTATGTCTTCAAGCTATAACAAATTCAAGTAAATGTATCATGTTTCGCTGCTTATAAAGGTCGCATTCCGGTTAGAACTTACCGATCAACATTTATATCGAAAAAATATACAATACGTTTTACGTTTGGAGCATTGAAGTAATGGCGATAGTGAGCATCGGGCTAAAGTTGTGAAGTGAGACATTATTAATAATGATACAAAATTTTTCTTGGACTTTAACGGAAACAATACCTGATAACCTGTAAAAACTGTGAAAGTAACTCGCAATTCTATTGGACCCCTCCTAATGTAATGACAAAAGGGAGGATTGGAACCTGTGATTTTATAGGTTTTTTACCATTATTGGGTGTTCGATTCGTTTATGGTCGAGTGTAAATAAGTACCAGGTATATCTATCATTCCACTTCTCCTAATTTCTAGGTCAGATGTTTGCTTCGCTTTTTCCAGTAGTTTTACCTGATCGAATAAACCATCAGGTCATTTACGGCGTTATAAAAGCCCACGTGTATGAACAAAGGAAAATTAATGTTTGTGATAAAGGTTTCCTACCAATCCCGAATCCGCCTTTCCCATCATTAAGAAGATTGCGTCGGGTGCGTTTTCCTTCGTATACTTTGGATTCTCATTGAACCATAATGATGGTGAAAAGAAATCTCCGTTCATAATTTGATGTGCTGTAGGAAACAGGTGTTGCAAAGGTAACAAGTTTTTTTTTTGCGGCTACTTATTTATGAAAAACATCGGTCAATTTATTTTTATAAAGACGAAAGAGTTTATGTAAAAATTGTTATTGGTATAAATCACGTATTAATTAAATTAATGCTTAAATTTGCTTTTCTCTTCCACTTATGTAAAACTAAGAGTCTAGTCTTACATATTACCAATATTGAGCGTGTACATGCTTATGTACGTACGTTACATAATTTCTGATTCGTTAAAATGAAAAATTATTATTTACTTTTGTTAAAGATGTGGATATAATCCTTCTCATGTTTGCATATAAATCAAGTTTGCATTTTCTTCCTAGGGATGATAAAAATTAATTCGTATATAAATAAAAGTGTAACCAAAAAGTTTTATTACAAGCAATTCAACGTACTCTGACGATATGTTAATCGCCTAATTTACAAATGTAAATCGATGAAAGAGAATGTGCAAAAAAAATTATATGTACAGAAAAATCTTACCTTAAGGAGAAGCCAGCTAACTCTCCTCTTCACCGAAAATCTCCTTGAAAATTTTACTTTGATGCCTTTCGTTCCAAAATTCATCTATCTCTGGATTTCTCGTGATAGTGGGAAAGTTTTCATAATACCGTCCCGCGATTTCAGACAATCCGAGTCGATATTCCTCATCGTTTGGATTAATCTTTACTAACACATATTTACCTTGGTACATCCTAATATACATATCACCTGAAAATTCTATACGCTGAGCACTTTCATTGTAATAAATATTGTGGATTTTAAAGATCGGATTCTTGTTCGCCTCTTCTGTATTTTGTGGTTGAAGGACTCGAATGTAATCGTTTTCTTTTAGTAATTCGGCGCCATACAAGAGACCTTTGATACGAATACATGAATTTAATTTGGAGTCTCTATTTTCTTCATTGTCTTCGCCTGTTTGGCGAAATGGTTGTAGTCGCTCCTCAGAATAGTAAGGCTCGACAGTAGAGGTGGCCATTGCTTTTGCATGATCAACCGCCCGCAGGAACTTGGATGTCAATTCCGAGAGTTTATCACCCTGAAATTCGGCGATGACATTTTTGGGGGAGATCTCCAACCATGGTAAAATGGCTTTCTGTTTTAATCGAACGTTGTCATTGAGTAAAATTATTCTTAAATTATATTGGATGGCGACTTCAGGGGATTCATCAGCGAGAACATGTTCGGCTGGAAAATGATTTTGAATGAAAGCTGGCCAATATGTGATGGTCTTAGACCCAAGTTCATTTCTTTGACTTTCGGTCAACACATGACGTACATCAGCCCATACAATTTCCCCAATTCGAAAGGTACGTGTGCGCTTTTCCAAAATCTGATCCTTGTCGTCGAGGTTTTCGGGACTAGATCTATTATCATTGGTGGACACTTTTGGCTTTTTGGATTTGGTCATCTGAACTAATTCTTGTCTCGAATTAATCGACCTCTTCGATGAAGGTTCTCTTTTAATGCTTGACTCGGGTGAAACTGACGAGCGAGATTGATTCTTTCGACAATATTTGCATCGGCAAGGAAGCACTTTATCCGAAGCAAGCCATAAAAGATGTTCTTCGAAGTCGCGTGGCGAATTAAATTTCGGACAAACATCACTGCCTATACAAGAAGAAACAATTTAGAAAATGAAGAAATTTCGAATATTGATCCTTCTTATTGACTCACCGAATAGATATGTATCCTTCCTAATTGCAACGTTAGATTCATTTTCCCTGACTCGCTCGAACACTTGGTATCCTTTCGGAAGAGAGGTCAACACCGCTTTAAAAAAGAAAATATCATCAGTAAATTACACTGTATAATAGATATTGGAACGTTCTGAAGAAATTTTGCGTACGCTTTTTTACGTCCACACCGGATCCTCGCAACGCATAAGCCAACGATTCTCCGAGTTTCGTTAAATATAACTCAATTTTGCTTTCGATCGGATGATAATAAATCGTTTCGCCGGAAGGATTTGGGATCCGCGTGGTATCCGGCCATCTGGATGCATCGCCATCAGTGTCTGTGACGGTGAGTCCATCATCGGACACAATAACATTAACGAAATTCCTGTTCATTACAAGTCAGTTAGTAAAACTTCTTGACAATCAACCTATTTTGAAAAAAATTAGTCGCAGAAGTACAATAAGGATATATATACTCAAAGAAAATCAGAATTCTGTAATTATGACTGGTCATGTATTTACGTCACTACGTGAATCATCATCACATTTTATAAAAGAAAGCTTTACGTCAAGATTTGTAAAATTATTCATAATCTCAAAGTTCATCTTGAGAAGTCACGTGTACATATAGACACAAGTCGTGAAGCATTAATGAACGTGTACGAAACTTGATTCATTTTAAAATTTTTTTTTTTATTTGTTATTTCAATGAAGAATATTTTATTCCACATAAAAATTCTATGATCACACGCTGATTTGTTTTGAATTAAATATCTATTCTAAAAAAAAAAAAAAAAAAGGAAAAAACATTTTCAAATCTTTCTCTATTGGTTTGGTTAAAAAAAGTGTTGGTATGGTTTGAGGAAATATCAGATAGCGTAAAAATGGATTTTTTTTTTCTTCACGTAAAAAATTTTATGATCTCCGTGAAAAGATATCCAGTTAACTAGTAAGCAGGATTGTATGCTGAGACCCAGCCGCAATTGAATGAATCTCCCGATTTCCCAATTCTTTGTTCGTAACTCGAAACGGCACATGTTCATCAAATTCCTCATCGTCATCTTCCTCGTTAGAATTTTTATTTCCAAGGGCGCCGCTATCACCAAAACCAAAGGTGTATAAGGACCCGTCCTTTCCAACAACGACACTATGGTGATCGCCGGTAGCAATAAGACGACACAGCAAAGAATTATCATGGCTTCCCGTGGAATCGTCGTCAATATCCATGTCGTTTTCGTTTCTACCGATTTTTTTCGAAGGAGCTTTAATCAACGTGGGAGTAGTCACATTTCGTTCTTTCAACTTTCCCAGACCTAGTTGCCCGTAATCTGCCCTTCCAAAGCCGAAAACTCTACCATCCTCTAATAATGCCAAAGTATGATGTTCCCCTGCTGCAATGGTCTTAACTCTTTTATCATTAAAAAATTCGACGATCGTGGGTCGCATAATAAAAACGTCTTTCGACTCAAAACCGCACTGACCAAAATTGTTTAGTCCCCAAGCGTACACGGTTCCATCTTGTCGAATCGCAAAATTATGAAATGCACCGGCAAATATTTTCTCGATCTTAATTAGATTTAGCTTATTAGGGTAAAGCCCCGAAGTGGCATGACGTTCGGAGACTTTTCTCCCGAGTTGACCTGCCTCGGCGTTTCCCCAGCAGTAAACGTAACCTTCGATTGTAAGAACCATCGCATGATCAGTACCTGCGGCAACATCGACAACTACTAATTCTTTTGCTGGTTCGTAAAGGACAAAAGTCGTTTGCTGTGTGGGGGTTTCCTCTTTTATTTTAAAACCCAAAACTCCTGATGGGCCTTTGAACGTTCCCGCCATGTAAAGATAACCACTGGATGATATCGCAAGCGAAATACTTCCACCGCAAACGATCTTGGTAATTTTCTCCTCCTCGATCCCTTGTGCATAAGAAGGCATTGCCATTTCTTCATTATTGGCAGTCTTTCGACCGAGAGAACCATGATCATTGCAGCCCCAGGTAACAACTTGTCCATTACGTGTCAAAGCTGCGCAATGTAAATTTCCACTACTTATGTCAACGACGGACATATTATTAAAAACGGAATTTATTGTTGGCGTTATTATTTCTCGATCGTCCTCAGAATCGTCGTCTTCCGAAACAACCAACCCAAGTTGACCAAAGTCATTGTTTCCCAAGATAAAAATGTGACCTGGGGCGCGTCTGGGAAGCATAGGATATGAAAGATTGATCGCGTACTTACTACGACTACCCTTTAATCTTCTATCGATCTCCTTCCGCGCACGTGTTCTCGAAGAATTTGACATTTTCTGCCTACTTGGGAAAATCGTTGTAACTCCACTTAATGAACAGAAAGAATTTCAAGCTCTGTTAGATCACGGTCCAGTAAGTGTAATATGTTTTATTGCAGCAAAGAAAAAAAGTTTTTTTTTTTTTTTTTTGCAAGTTCTTTCTGAACAAACGCAGGCTACTTTTATTGTACGAATTTGCATGATTGATCATGTGATAAATTTATCAGGTGGCAGCTCTTTTCAAAATAATAGAAAGCACCATTTTTTTTTCTTAAAATATTGCCAAGCTCAAAGATAATTAAGAAAAAAATTATTTTAAGGAATGAATATTCGATGTCAGGATTTCCGGCAAAATTATGAAATTTCTGTCGAAAAAATTTTAATGAACTGTAAGGAACGTTTCACCAATCGATACCACCTGTCATATATCGTCAGTATGTTTAACGAATAATGGGGTTCACCCTAAACAAAAAGGGAGATCTCATTTGAGGCAGTTTCTATAAATTCTAAGGTTCTATTCAATCGTCTTTACGTAGGTACATATATTTTTCCGAATGAAAGTTGAATGATCTATAAAAAAAAAAAACTTATTACGTCCTTTGTTAGAGAGGAGAATCAATAACATTTAAAACAAAAAATATACTTTATTCAGATCATGTGTTATGTTGGACAAATTTCTGCGGCCCAATGGAATTTCGGATTTTACGTGCCGAAGTGAGTCTGTAAATAAATACCACGTGCAAATCGTACTACCCAAATTACAAAGTTTAAAAGACGACGCAACCGCTAATTCATATACAAGCTAATATTAGGATACACTTTTTTTTATGATGGTTGATAGTGTAAAATACGAGGTAGGGGTTTCTTCTTCTTCCTGAGGTTATGTCTCCATTATGAAGAGCTGCTCGTCTACGCGGACCAACCACATGCTATTTCATGATGTGCCCGTAGAAACGACAACAGCTCGCCGGATATGCATCCCGACGCAATTGCGTAAAGGCAACGGGATTAGCCGGAGAAATTTTAAGATCAGATGTTTCCTAAAAAAAATACTTATTCAACCTGTTCCGTCGGACGCTTCATTATTCACCACGTATTAACGACGGAGTGTTCTTTTTTATTCTTATCTCAGCGAGCGCTCAAATTTGTGGATCAATTACTCGTAAAAGATCTAATTGCCACCAATAGATCTTTAAATTCAGTTCAATCCGCAAGTTTGCGCACATCAATTACGAAGAAGATAGAACTTCGTAACCACCTAATTGAATACATGACAAGAGTGCGAGACAGTAATGATCCCAGAAAGGTTAACGAGATGTGTGATGTAGTATTACGAAAAGGCGCGGTAGATCATTCCAGGTATGATGAATGTAAAATCATACAAAGCTAGCATAGTTCAGTGTGCAAGATGTTGTGCACAACTTCAACTCCACTATTTGCTTTTGATCCAGCACGCAATTTCCGCCAGAATCGTTAAATACTATTTCTACTTCATCACCGTTGCGCTTCACTTTAAAACCCTCTCGACCCTCACAAAATCATACTCATTTTGGCACGCTTCTTGGTTCAAACCGCAGGCCTCATCCGATTTTACCACCGATCGCGCTTAATGGACCAATACCGAACGGATCGCGAAACATCCAATTTAAAAGTTCCCCTTTTTACAATGTCTTGGAAAGGATATCTGATTTAAGAGTGCTTCCGAGTAAGTTGATTTCCCAAATTAATTTTTTTTTTCCTTTTTCGACCACGCCTAATCATTGAAGCAATTTTTTGTTACTTTGTGTCAGCTGCAGCAGAGAACGTTCGAAGTAGTGTAACCATTCATTTTCGCTTGAATTATGATCAGGTTCAAAGGATCCAACAATCCAGGTAAAGTGTATGGGATTATGCGTTGTGATGTTTGGGCGATTGAGACGTGTAAATAATCGATCTTTTGCACCTTATCCTCAGGAGAACTTATCAGATTAGATTGTTCGGTTGTTCTGAGCCGTCGGGGTCAGTTGCAAATGAATGTTTAGTTGAGTTTCCGCAACTATGTGAAATCAAGGTCAACGGAGAAAATTTATCAGTAGTAGGGATCTATTTCAAATTATCCTTGTTTAGCTATCGTTAATTTCGCATAAAGAAGAATGTCTTGAATTAATATTGTTGCATGTGTTCTATAGAATACTAGAGGAGTAAAAAAGATGGTGGGTTCTGTGAATCCAATCGATACGACGGTACTGTGTAAAGTAAATCCCAGCTACGAAAACAAACTTGAATTCACATACGCGAATACTAATAAGGTAAAAGAAAAAAGGGAACGGAGACTTTGTTCATTCCTCATCGCGTCACCTTACCTTACCTAATTTGGCGCCCCGACCTTTGACTTCATGTTTAGCGATATATTATTATGCTTCAATTAATTGAAAAAATATCGGTCGATAGTATAGTAGAAAAAGTAAAGAACGGGAAGTTCGTGCCCAAGGATGAAGTTTTGCGAAATTGTATGTATATCAGTGGTCTGATCTTTATTGAGGGTGATAATTTATTTGTTTGTTTGATCAATTATTTAGGGCGGGAAACCGGCGAAGACGATATAGTGGTTGGGTCGAGCACAATCTCTCTAAAAGATCCTGTATGCTAAGTCAATAAAACTTCTTTGGATGATTTCTTTTTATGTGTGATATTTAAATAAATTTACGATTCACACGCGTCTACGTTACACTTTCATCTAATTGGATGGAAAAAAGTTAGGATACACGAGAATCAAAATTCCATGTAAATCCACGCGTTGTTCACACATTCAGTGCTTTGATGCATACCTCTTCTTCCAGCTAAACGAGCAAGTGCCCACATGGACGTGCCCGGTTTGTAATATTTCAATTGGATCTTGGGAAGATATTGTAGTGGATGGGTGAGTTCACTTTATCTCCGAGAGATCATTCATTTCATCAACATTGTTAATTCTTAATTTCATAATTGATTGTCAAATATCACACGTGCAAAGGTACTTCACGGACATACTAAAGAACACTCCACAAGAACAAGAAACTGTGTCCATAGATCCTAACGGTATTTGGACCATTCCGAAGAAAACGATCGATGAGACAAGGTTCTCTCCCACGACAAATCATATCTCCCAAAAAACTCTAGACCCGCCACCACAAGATATATACATTATAGATTCATCAGATGAAGAAAAACCTATTAAAAAGAAACAGTTACAAAAAACCTTTGATAATAAAGAGATTATCGACCTCACTTTAAGTAGTGATGAGGAAGAACCCCCTAAAACCTTCAAAGATAGACCCACAGGTACTACTACTGTTAACTATCCTGTTAAGATAGAAAATAAACAGGAAATTTTAGTACAACCCATACCTTTAAGTGTATCATATTCCACCCAAAATCCTCAATCGTCGTCCTCATCTTTTAATAATTATACGGTTCCCCAATACTATCATCATCCATACGAAACGCCTGTAGATGCTAAATCTTCAATTTATTATGATAACCCTGAATCCACTTTAATTAACACCCCTGGCTCTCTAGGAGAAAGTTACGAATATTTCATGAGTCATGATTTCGACAGGTATGTCTGATACCGATGCTAGGAACGAGCCTTGACGACCGACTATGTGGTAAGTGAATGAAAAAATGATGCTAGAATTCTCTTTTTTCAAGAGTAACAAACTTATATACATTTATTATTCTTTCAGGAGTAGAGAACCAAAGTATTCAACCACTTTTTTTTTTTTTCTTTTTTTTTTTTTTTTTTTTAACTATAATTTTGAATACTATATGAATATAATACGAATTAAAAGTGAGAACTTGTCTGAGGCGTGGATTCTGCGTTAAACTCGACAGAATAATTACCCTTTGAAGAACAATTTTAATTCGGACAAAATTTCGCCAAGATTACCCGAACACTATGATATTCCTTAAGCTTAATAGAAACTCTATATTCTTTGTACAATAGCTTTCGAAAATTGGTTACCATAATTAAAAAATTCTAATAGCACCGACAATAATAAAGTTTGAGTGAACGGCTCTACGTCTAATAAATGTTAAAAGCAATTTTATCCTCTGTAATTTACAATTTAAGTGACCATTGATTTAACTGGAGAAATGATTAGTGATGAAAAAAAATTTTTTTCATAGCATTACGAATGTCTTATTTTGATCCTATTTTCTTTAAAATGATCAGATAATGAATGACTCGATGACCTATCCGCAAATCATCAATTAACTCAATCGAGAAAGTGATTTTAAAGAAACACTTGATGATTATTGTAATAGTAACGACCTTTGGACTACTTTTATTTACTAATAATTACCTATACTGTATAAGTAATTCCGTAATTGTTTCCATTGAAGAAAAAATCCCAAAACTTAAAAAACACTCAGTATATACTACTCTGTTTTTTACACCTATAAATACAATTAGTTTAATACATATTACTGAATATATTTTAATTGATTATATTTATCAAATATATATTTTTTAATTATAATTTATAAAGATCAATTTTTAAAATTATTGAATTTAAAAAGAATCCTATTTAAAAGATACAATTATCCATATATTATAAAGGCATAATATGCTGCATGTGATTTTAATTTAATTTTAATTTATATATACAGTACTAGGGTTTTGAAAAGTATCAAACTTGTATTGAACTGGTATCAAAATGGTACCAATATATAATAAATTTAATATATGGATTGTAATATACTCATAGAATTTTATAGTAAATTTAAGTATCAAACTGGTATCAAAGTAGTATTATTAGGAGCCCTATTTATGAAACTATAAAAGAATAATGATTTTCAAAAACCTAACTAGAGCTACAAAACTTTTTCTTGTTGGATATACTGTAATTAATACATGGCTAATCATATTAGAATATGGTTCTTTGAGTTTTTATTTATTGGATAATAGATAGAATTAGAAGTTGCATATCCTAGCATATTAGCTTATCACATATACTATTAAAGCTTCAGTATTGATAATATAGGATAATTGAAAAGCAATAAATTAACTGATAGATAAACTAATCTATCTTAGATAATTTTACTTAAAAAAAAACTGGTAAAAAATTTATATAAAACAACTTTGTATATACTTAATAATAATAATCTCATAAAACAAGATATATACCAGTTGAAAAAAAAAAAGTGAATTAATTTAAAAATGCTGTTATTAAAAGATTTTGCAAATTTGAATTCTTTAAGTATATTATACTTTTTATATATAATTGCTAATTAATTATTAAAAATCTTAATAAAACATTTGTATATTGTTTTCAATAGAATTATTAATCTAATATTATTGAACTCTTCTTGTTATTTCTTTTCTTTTAAAATAAAATATAAATAATTGTTTTTTTAAAATATTAATATTTGCCTTTAATTAAAGAACAAATTAAAGAAATTATATAAAATCTTTTTAACTTAAAGTTTTAGTTTAAGTATTTTATATTTGATCTTGAAAAGATTTATTGTTTTGTTATTAAAAAGATCTTAAAAAATTTTTTTTAATTCTTCCAATTGAATTTTTTTTTTAACTTGTTATATTATTTATCTTGGATTTATATTATTTTTTTATTGATTGTTTAGCAAATTAAAGTTACTATTGTATTTTTGAAATACTTTTTAAACTTAATTTGATTTTAAATTTTTTTTTATTAATTATAAAATATTTTTTTTCTTTTTTATCTACAGTGGTACCCAAAATTTTTTAAAAAATTAAAAATTGTATTGTTATTTAATAAATATTAATTTAAAAAATATAAAAAAA